TTAATGTTTTAATAGATTTATTAAGTAGAGAATAAATAGGCACAGACTAAAACAGTGATTTTAGGATGTGTAACACTGCCAATAAAAGTGTATCGAACTATGTGAAGATTGACTCCAATATAGCCATTGCTAATTTGGACTTTGACCTATTTCATCCAGTGCAGGACAATAAGTAGCAAGACTCCATCACTAGACCTGACCCATCACCATCTCTTTTGCCTCAATCACCATGCTCTTGGCAGTCATCTTTAAATGTATTTTGCCAGATCTTCTTTGCCTACTTTCAGTCCCCACGCATACCCCCACGCTCCCCATCTTCTTCTACCTAGTGATGTTAACTCTATGACCCCTCTATGGGGGTATGCATCCAGGAAATGTCCTGCCAGCATCAGTCATTTCTCCATCACAGTTTATCACAGGCACCTCTGACCAATACTGTGTCACGCTTTCTCACTGGTGATGCTGTCTCTCCAACTGATGCCCAGGATCTTATGTTAGCAGAGTTGATGAAAAATGTCAAACTTACATTATACCTTCACTGTTCTTTTCCATTCTCACTGGCAAAGATTACAGTTGTTACCAATACGTAGAGTCAAAGATTCATGGCCGTGTCTTTGTTGCATGCCTAGATCATGTTGAGTCAATGAAGATTGTTATTTTTTCCTGTGTGGGCAGTGGGTTCTATGTCACCCGCCCTGGACATTTGCTTCCTAGGTGAAGTGGTTGATATCCTCAATGATCTGTTGTCCAGTTGTGATGGGGTGGGAGTTGGGTGTCCTGGAGGACCAGTTGCTATTCAGAAATCATTGCCCTGGTCTTTTCGTAGCTGACCCACAAACCAACTTTGACATCACTATCTTCAAGACTGATGGCTGTTTCTTGGGACACACTGTGGCCCAGAGGGTGATTTTACCTGCACAATATAGATCCAGTGATGCTCAGCTAAATCCTAGGAGGTGCAATGAAGGGATTGCAAGGGAAATTATCATTAGAGAAGAAGAAATAATCAGAACGATGTGGAATGATCAGGTTCGGGAAAGGTGACAAAGAAGGAATGGGGTGAATGGGAAATGAGCCATTTAATTGAGAGAAGAGAGCTGACAATGGCCAAGAAAGATAAAGATATTTTTTCTATAATTAGCGTTAGTATATGTAGTACAGTGTTGTGTATAAACTTGTCCTTTATGAATGTGCAAAACAGCTGCTCAAGAGGGAAGCAGAAGGAAACATTGTAATGTGGGTTTATTTTATTCTGGGTCAGCTGCAGGATTGTCTATAATTAGAATCTGGATTTTATACCATGTGCTATAATGTAATTATTTTATATATTTTCCAGAATGTATGTGAGAAAAAACATTGAAGAGGTTTACAATGGCAAGATAAATGCAACCCCTTTGTGGGAATCTGGTGGCATGTGGGAGTTCCTCAATAGCTGCAGCATCTGAACAAACAGCTTTGTAGGAAGTATCTCCAGCTGCATTTACTCAGATTTGAAATGAGTGATCTTGAGATACAGTGGGAAGCAGTCCATGGTATATGGAAGGTGATGCTGGGAGATTTGCAGAGGACTTCAATTTTGACCTTGAGAGCCCACACAGTGTTTGGTCAATATTTCTGCTTAGTGCATGGATTTCTTCTTAGTTAGCGAAAGATTGGTTGTGTTTCTTAACCTGTTCACAAGTTTACTGTTTGAAATGATGAGAGAAAGAGTGCAGGGAAATATTAAATAAAAACTGAAAGGACTGCGGATGCTGTAAATCAGGAACAAAAACAGAAGTTGCTGGAAAAGCTCAGCAGGTCTGGCAGCATCTGTGAAGGAAGAAACAGAGTTAACGTTTTGTGTCCGGTGACCCTTCCTCAGATCCTGCGTGCGTTCTGAGGAAGGGTCACCGGACACAAAACGTTAACTCGGTTTTTTCCTTCACAGATGCCGCCAGACTTGCTGAACTTTTCCAACAACTTTGTTTTTGTACAGGGAAATATTATCTTTTTAATGGACAATTACATTGCTTTATCCTGCATGTCTTCTAAGCTTTCTGATGTGGCAAACTGGATTTACAAAATGATATTATGTAATAGAATCAATGACCCATTGCAGAGCCACCAGGTGACAAGCATGTGGCAGTGCAGGATGATGAACAACAATGTGTTATGAATGTCAGTGTTCACATTTCCACCGAATGAGCTGACTTAGTGGATCCCATCTGCTGGAACTGAGTAGGAGACTTGATTGTTGCTTGTTGTCAGCCCATTTAGCATCTTTCAGAGACCAATTACAGAGTGTGGATGTGATAGCGATCTGCAACCGACAATGGAAAGATTTTAATTTAAAAGGATCCCATTAAAAGCCCGGTGAACTCTGTTGCAGATTTACCAGTGAAGATGCAGCAACCCCAAAAGAATAGATATGGGATTGGGATGGCTCCTCTTCCCCTGCACCCCAGTTGTCTGACGCTTCCCTGAAGATCATGTTGTAGAATGATGCCTCATGGAGAAGTATTGGCACTGAAATTACATGATGTTTTTTAATTGTGTGGAGGACAGGCTGTCTTTTTGGGTAGAAAGCATCTTATTGAAAGAAAATACCAGACATATGGCCATGCATGGTAGCAGTTTAAAATGGTTTGCTTAAACTACTGTTCAAGTTTTTGGGATACTTAGACTTTCCAGGGTAATTTGAGGCATATTGAGAACTTTTCAGGTCCTAAAATGTGGCCTTTTGCCCCATTTGTGACTTTTCACAATATGTGACACATAATGTTCTGAAAAGGTTAGCTGTTGTCCTGCAGAATAACCAGAACAATTTGAGGAATGTAAGCCATAAGTCCAGTAATTGGCTGATTAACTGAAACAATGTTTGGTTGATCCTCATTGGCAGGTAACAGGGTTCACACCAAACTCAACTCCTCCACTTTCAATCCTCACTCCACAAAAAATTTACAGTTTTCAGCTATGTTCATTTATACTTAATAGAAATGACAGGCAATGATTTTCGGTGATCAGAAATCCCCAGAAGCCTGGCGAATCTATAATCATGTGTTGCCTTCTGACGGCAATGACTCAGCCAATCATTGTCAACTTGTCAAACAATTAAAACCTTTTATCTTCTATAAGATAAATTGTTGTTATAAGTTTGAAATTTGGCCTTGTTACATTTGTTCTAACGAGGGCAAGATGAAAACTTTTGCAAACATGTCCCCTTTCAGTAATATTTGTACATTATTTATGAGTGCATATGGTGAGCATAAATATGTGAGACGAGGTTAAGCTATTGTCTTTGGAATCTTGATGGTTAACTCATCCAAATTACAGCATTCCTGATTTAAAAATATCAATGCTGCAAATTAGGTGCATTCATAGAGTTGTAGAGTCATACAACATGGTCACAGACCCTTCGGTCCAACTAATTCATGCTGACCATGATCGTAAACTAAACTAGTCCCACCTGCCCACTCCTGGGCCATATCTCTCCAAACCTTTCCTATTCATGTACTTATCAAATGCCTTTTAAACATTGTAATTGTACCCGCATCCACCACTTCTTCTGGAAGTTAATTCCACACACAAACTACCCTCCGTGTAAAAAATCTTTGTGCCTGGTTCTGTGCTCCGTTCTCCTATTAAAGACAGTTCGGAGTTCCATGTCATAAGCAAAAATGTGCAAAATGTAGCCTTGATCTGGCAAATTCCATGAGAGGGGAGTGTGTGAAAGTGAGATATCTGTCCTCTTGAGAGTGAACACTAACAAAATTTACTAATCAGAATTATAAGGGGAAGTGGGGACCTGGGTTCGAATCCCACCACAGCAGATGGTAGAATTCGAATTCAATTTTTAAAAAAAATCTGGAATTAAGGGTCTAACGATGACCATGAATTGGATGTCAGAAAAACCCATCTGGTTCACTAATGTTCTTTCGGGAAGGAAACTGCTATCCTTACCTGGTCTGGCCTACGTGTGACTCCAGACCCACAGCAATGTGGTTGATTCTTAACTGCCCTTTGGGCAATAAGGGATGGACAATTATTGCTGGTCTAGCCAGCAATGCCCTCATCTTGTGAATGAGTAAAAAGAAAAATCTTACAAGGCATAGTAGAGGAGACATACTGATGAAGCCTTACAGACTTAGTTTCAGTTCCATATGATTTGATGTCACTATGACATAGCTATTTTTGTGCAGGCTAAATAGCTTTCCTTATCCGAAAGGTATAATTAATCCTTTACTCTACAGAGAGGACATTTTTGTGGGGTGTGGGCCACATGTGATTTATTGCTGATAAAGCATTCTCGATGTAAATGTGTTAATTTTATTGGATAGGAGGCATTAAAATAATGATTGGAAAATTGTGGGCAACAGAAATGGAAATTCTTGAAATGCACAGAAATGGGTAAACTTCTCTTCCATGAGATTTTGTAAAATCTGCTTCTGAGATAATATGATTTAAGGTATTTAACTAATACTAGAATTAATTATGGACTAGGATGAAATTTTAGAGTCTCTGTCTCTCTTTTGCGTCTTCTGTTCATTCTTCAAAATGAAGATGATCATCTTCAACATCTGGAGTATTTTGTAGGGTTTTTTTCCATAGAATCCCTACAGTGTGGAAACAGGCCCTTCAGCCCAAACTGACAATCAGAGCATCCCACCCAAACCCATTCCCCTATAACCCACCTAATCTATACATCCCTGAACACTATGGACAATTTAGCATGGCCAATCCACCTAGCCTGCACACCTTTGGACTGTGGGAGGAAACACATGCAGACATGGGGACAAATATGCAAACTCCACACAGACAGTTGCTGGAGGGTGGGATTGAACTTGTGCCCCTGGTGCTGTGAGGCAGCAGTGCTAACCACTGAGCCATTGTTCCAACCCCTGCACTAGCTACTTTGATAACTTTTAACGCTGACATGCGCACATAAGTTTAATTCGTAAATAGGACAGGATACTGCAGAAAATTGAGGTTTGAATGAGTTACTCACTCATAATTTACTGTCTTTACATTTCTTCAGTCGCACTTATATTGAAATTGGACCAATGCAGAAAAGATTAGCATGGCCCCTGCACGAGGATGACATGCAAATGGATGAAGCATTGCATGTTTAATGCTGATCAGAATTGTTTCAAAAATGTAAAAAAAGTGAGAAAGGAAATGAACATGAAATTGCATGGGGGCGCTGTACAGACTGTGGGAAAGGGGAAGCTTACAAGAAGGAATGATGCAATGTGTTGTTAAAACAGCTAACATCCTGAATACCTCCCCTGAGGGCTGAATTGGTTTTTGCTTATTGCTTTTGGTATGTGGAGAGAACAAAGAATTTCTAGTGTTTTCAACTTTTAAATTTGTCTTACAAGCAAGAAAATTGCAGTGTCATATGGTTCTAGAAAACAAGTTACAGATATTTTGCAGATCGCGCACTGACTATCTGGCAACTGTGTCGGGCTGAATCAGACATTAGTGTGATATCTGACCCTGAGATGAACACATCTGGGCCATTACTAAGACTGTCAACGTCCAACATTGTAGTATTGCCTGACTTTGTTTTTATTCATTCACAGGATGTGGGCATTGTTGGCAAGGCCAGAATTCATTGCTTATCGCTAATTGCCCTTGAGGAGATAGTGATAGGTTTCCTTCTTACACTGCTAAGTTCCAGAAAGCTGAATCTATCACAGTGATGTTAGAAAGGGATTTTCAGGATTTCTATCCAGTGACAATGAAGAAACATCAATGTATTTCTAAGTCAGGATGGTGGGATGGCTTGGAAGTAGTGCTCCCATGCATTTGCTGCCCTTGTCTGTCTAGGTGATGGAGATTGCAGGTCCAGAAGGTGCTTTCAAAGGAGTTATAACACTCCTTTAAACATTTTGGAAATTTTATTATAATAAAGGTGCTATATCAATCCAAGCTGAAAAGCCCTCCGCTTCTTCCTCTCCCGCAGGCCCAACCAGTCCCCCTCCAGCGACACCCTTATCCGCTTAACCAAACTCGTCCTTACCCTTAACAACTTCTCCTTCAGCTCCTCCCACTTCCTACAGACTAAGAGGGTGGCCATGGGTACTCGCATGGGCCCAAGCTATGCCTGCCACTTCATAGGATACATGGAACAGTCCCTCTTCTGCTGTTACACTGGCACTATTCCCCAACTCATCCTCTGCTACATTGATGACTGTATCAACGCTGCCTCGTACTCCCACGAGGAGCTTGAACAGTTCATCAACTTCACGAACACCTTTCACTCCAACCACAAATTCACATCTCCAATACCTTCCTCTCCTTCCTGGACCTCTCCGTCTCTATCTCTGGTGATTGTTTCGAAACTGGTGTCTATTTCAAGCCCACCGACTCCCACAGCAACCTAGACTTCACCTCCTCTCACCCACCTTCCTGCAAGAATGCGATTCCACACTCCCAATTCCTCCACCTCCGTCGCGTCTGCTCCCAAGATCGGGCGTTCCACTCCTGCACATCGCAGATGTCCTCTTATTTCAAGCACCATAACTTGACCCCTCCAGTGACCGAAAATGCCCTCAACTGCATCTGTTGCAATTCCCGCACTTCTGCCCTTACACCCCCTCCCCCAGCAAAAACAAAGACAAAATCCCTCTTGTCCTCACATACCACCCCACTAACCTCCGCATCCAACGTATCATTCTCCGCCACTTCCGCCACCTACAATCCAACCCCACAACCAAAGAGATATTTCCCTCCTCACCCCTGTCTGCCTTCCGTAGGGACTGCTCTCTCCGTGACTCTCTCGTCCGCTCCACACTCCCCGCTAGCCCCACCACCCCCGGCACTTTTCCCTGCAACCACAGGAAGTGCTACACCTGCCCCTACACCTCTCCCCTCACCTCCATCCAAGGAACCAAAAAAACCTTCCACATCAGACAGAGGTTCACCTGCACATCCGTCAATTAGGTCTACTGTATCCAATGCTCCCGATGTGTCCTCCCCTACAACGATGAGACCAAGCGTTGACTCGAGGACTATTTCATAGAGCAACTGTGCTCTGTACGTGACAAGTGACAACATCTTCCATTCGCCAACCATTTCAACGACCCCTCCCATTCTCTGGCCGACATGTCCATCCTGGGCCTCTTCCAGTGTCGCAATAATGCCACCCGCAAACTGGAGGAGCAACACCTCATATTTCACCTCGGGATCCTACAGCCCAATGGCCTAAACATAGAATTCATCAGTTTTAAATTCTCCCTATCCCCGGCCTCATCCCATGTCCAACCCTCCCTCTCATACTCGCCTCCTTGACCTGACATAACCTATCCATCTTCTCTCCCACCTATCCACCTCACCCATCCCACTGACCAATTCCCACCCCTCCCTACCTGCACTCACCTATCACCATTCCACCTACCTAAGCCAGACCCATCACTTCTCTCTCTATTTATTTCCCAGCTCTTTTTCCCCTCCCCAATTTTTGAGGAAGGATCCCAACCCGAAACGTCAGCTTTCCTGTTCCTCTGTTGCTGCCTGGCCTGCTGTTTTCCTCCAGCTCCACCCTGTATTGTCTCTGACCCCAGCATCTGCAGTTCTTGCTCTCTCAAGTTACATTATTGTTGTTTTGCCTTTACTTAATTATGATGAGTATTTTCACCTCCACATATGTCACATTGGAGCTGAATTTTTCTTCCTCGTCATTGCATTATATAATTGTAAAGATTCTTACATAGCTTTGTTTTGAAAGTAATTGAGCAATTTCCTCTCGGTTGGGATAGTAATGACTCATATTGAATTTAGTGAAATGGAATGGCTAGTGACTGAAGGGTCAGTCAAGGGTTTGTATTCAGAACAGCCAACAAAGAATGCTTGGTTTTGTAGTACAGTAGGATTTTATGCTGGAGTCCTTAGGACAATGAATACATTTTGTCATTGCTGTGCATGAAGAAGTGTTGCAACGATAAAGCCTTTATTGTTGAAGTTAATATATGGGAAATGCCCTTGAAGGAATGATAGTATTTCAGTATGAGTCACCATGGTCAGAATCCAGTGGGAAGGTAGTAGCAGAGTTTTTTTTTAACCAGGTCACAACTGATTATTTTACAGCCTTATATGGGTATGCAGGAACAGGATGGTGCAAGGAGCATGCTAACTGATTCAATATTACTAATCAGCTGCATTTTAGTTAAAGGAAATCCATCTCTGATTACAAAAATGATAGAAGTTATGAAGTGATCACTTGCTATTGCTGACAAAAAGCTTACATGTTCCTGTGAAAGAAATCACTCGTTAACCTTCCCCAGGCCTACAGGGATTTGAAAGTTCTGCAAACACAGTAATGTTTTTTAACACAAACTCAGATTGAACATCACTTATAGGAAACTGACAGAATTGGATCAAAATGCTGATGAACTAATGTAAAGTAAAATTGTGGGATATTCAAAGAGACACCCAATGCGATTCTGACAGATTCTTTCAGGTGAGTTAGGTTTAAAATATCTCTATTTACTTTGGAGTCACCTAGCATGGAGGATAGCACAAATGACATGATCACACACTGCAGAGCCCTTTTCATTGGCACCAGTTAAAAACAGCATTATCAGTTATTTCATTTTCCTGCATGCTCTTACTCTGAAAATGTATCATTTCACACTTCATTTTCACTTTGTGCTGCTCCTGGCATTTATCTGTGGATTGTAGTTTGCAGTTTTTCACAGTCCTCTTCACACTTTGACAGATAACCCTCAATTTGGTGATATCAGCAAATTTCAGTCTTGCTCCCTCAATTCATTAATCAAAGCTGTTTATGTTTATGGTTAAGAGGAAGCAGAAACAGCAGTTCATCTCACCACGTCCTTCCAGTTGAGAGAAGGAGTATGTGAAGGTAATGCTACAGTCTGGTAAGCCAGGGGCTCTATTTAAGGCTCCAGAAACATAAGTTCAAATTGCTCAACAGATGAGCCAGTGCTCCTCCATTGTGAACACTTGGAAGAACACAGAGGTTTGAATGGACACAGAATGTATTCTAGCTGGGAAACTTCAATGTCTATCACCAAGGAGGCTGAGTTGGGCTACTCCTGAGCGAGGTGGTCAGGTTATTGAGTCATAGAGTTGTACAGCATGGAAACAAACCCTTCGGTCCAACCCCTCCATGCTGGCCAAGTTTTTGCCAAACGATGGCTCAGTGGTTAGCACTGCTGCCTCACAGTGCCAGGAACCCGGGTTCGATTCCAACCTTGGGCAACTGTCTGTGTGGAGTTTGCACATTCTCCTTGTGTCTGCCTGGGTTTCCTCTGGGTGCTTTGGTTTCCTCCCACAGCCCAAAGATGTGCAGGTTAGGTGGATTGGCCATGCTAAATTGCCCGTAGTGTTTAGGGATGTGTAGATTAGGTAGGTTATAGGGGGTTGGGTCTGGGTGGGATGCTCTGAGGGTCAGTGTGGACTTGTTGGGCCAAAGGGCCTGTTTCCATGCTGTAGGGATTCTATGATTCTATGAAACTAGCCCCATTTGCCTGCATTTGGCCCATATTCCTCTAAACCTTTCCTATTCATGTATCTGTCCAAATGTCTTTTAAATGTTGTAACTGTACCTGCATCCACTACTTCCTGTGGCAGTTCATTTCATATATGAACCGCACTCTGTGTGAAAAAGTTGCCCCTCAGGTCCTTTTGAAATCTTTCTCCCCTCACCTTAAAATTATGCCCTCTACTTTTGAACTCCCCAACCCTGGGGGAAAAAAAACTTTGCTATTCCTCTTATCTGTGCCCCTCATGATTTCATAAACCGCTATAAGGTTACCCCTCAACTTCCTATGCTCCAGTGAAAAAAGCCCCAGCCTATTCAGCCTCTCTTATAACTCAAACCCTCCAGTCCCAGTAACATCCTTGTAAGTTGTTTCTGCACCCTTTCCAATTCAATAACATCCTTCTTACAGCAGGGCAATCAGAACTGTACACAATACTCCAAAAGTGGCCTCACCAACATCCTGTACAACTGCAAAATGATGTCCCAACTCTTATACTTAATAGTCTGAATATCTGTCAGACCAGGCCTGCAATAAGTAGTGAGAGGCCCAAAAATAGGGAAGAACTCTACTTTTGTCACCAATCCACTGGTCACAAATATATCTTGTGAAAACCAAGTCCT